CACTGCTGCAGCAGCAGCTGCAGCAGCAACACTGTGGGGCTGTTTGCCTCGCGCCGCTGCAGCGACACCGAAATGCGCTGCAGCATTCAGTGCTGCAGGCTGCGCTGCCGGCACATAGTGACTTGGCACGCTGGCAAGAGTCGGCTGCTGCTGGTGTGGGCTGCTGCTGCGGTGGCGCCTGCTGCTGCTGTGACGCCTGCTGCTGCTGCTGCTGCTGCAGCGGGGGGCGGCGCCCACGCCTGCACCCGCCTGCTGTACACTCTCCGCGGCCACGAACGGCCCCTGCTGCGGGTCCGGCAGCAAACAGATTGGAGAGATATGCATGAGTACTTTATAGCTTCTTTGGATGCTGGAGGCACAGTAAGGGTGTGGCATTCTGCTGCTTTCCCCCCGAAGGAAACAGCAGCAGCAGCAGCAGCAGCAGCTGCAGCAAGGGCCACGGAAAGCGACCCAGACATCGCCGCGGCGTGGCAGCAGCGGCTGCAGGAGCTGGAGATCCAGCAGCAGCAGCAGCAGCTGCGCAGGCAGCAGCAGCAGCAGCAGTACCAGGGGGGGCTTTGGGGCGAAGTGCAACTCAGCAGCAGGGCCTCCTCCGTGGCAGAAGAAGCAGAAGATGCAGCAGCAGATGCTGCTGCAGTCGGGTGTATAGCCATCATACCTTCCATGGACTCTTACTGGATACACCGCATTTCTCTTTCTTCCCACGGGCTGCTGACACTCTGCCGCCCCACGCAGCAGCTGCCGCAGCAGCAGCAGCAGCAGCTGCTACTGCTGTGGGCGCTGCATGCGCCCTCCATTTCCTCCATGCGCGCGAAGCGCCACAGGACGCCGCAGCAGCAGCAGCTGCTGCTGCAGCAGCGCGAACAGTGCTCCAATGACCCCCACGCACTTTGGAAGCAAATGCTGTCTTCCTGGCAGCGCAGCAGCAAATACTCAGAGCCCTGCAGCTTCATGCGCAAAGTGGCTTTTGTCCTGCGCGAGAGACGCGCTGACGCTGCTGCTGCTGCTGCTACTGCTGCAGCTGCGGCTCGTGCTGCAGGCCCAGCTGCTGCTGCTGCTGAAGATACTTTTGATGCTACAGCACTTTCGCCGCCGCGCAGCAAAAGGGCCTGGAGACCCACCAGCACTGCCTCTCCAGCGCCTGCTGCTGGCAACTCTGCAGCTGCTGTCGCAGCAGCAGCAGCTGCTGCTGCTCCACAAGCGGC